AATAAACAATAAACAATAATAAACAATAAACAATAAACAATAATAAACAATAAACAATAACAGATGATAAACAGTAATGAACAGCAATAAACAGTAATAGTAAACAATAATGAACAATGATAAATAATAATAAGAAACAATAGCAAGCAATAACAGGCAATAATAAGAATATTAAATCGTCAATACATTTTTTTACTATTATACTATTTAAATTTCAGAATCTTAAATACGCTTAAATTCAAAAATATCTAAATTAAAATTTTTCACAGACAAGCCCCGAATAGTTTCTTCAATTTATTATGCATATAATTTTTTCTTCTTTTCCAGTAATATTAAAAAAATCAATTAATCTCCAATTATTATCAATGGGAATACTGTGAATCGTACTGATTATGTTTAATTCAATCTTTTCTTCTATCAGTAATTGTACAGTATTATTAATAAATTTTTCAATATTTCACACAATTTTTCTCTTCTTCACAATCTTTTACGATTGAATATGCAAGTAATTCTCGAAAGCATTCCTATTAAAAAAGACAACTTCAAAATTTCGTTTTTTAAGCATGAAAATGCTAACAAGTTGACATAGCAAAATGTACTCTCTTCTTTCTTTTTCTTTTTCTTTTTTTTTCATTTTTTCACCAACTAATGCTATTTCTAAAATTTTAAATAGACCTTCTTTCTTTCATTTTTCTTCTTTCTCCTTTTTTTGCTTTGAAGTGAAAAGAAATTGAAATTTTATTCCTTCTAAATATCAGTTTTTAGTAAAATGAGACGAAAATTCAATATTTCTCATTATTATCAATAACATTTTGAAATGTAATTGTATCTTTAGCTAACAGATATCAATTTTATAAAGAATATCGTGAAATTTTTTTTTTTGTCGACGAAATAAACTTATTGAAAATGTGAAAAAAAAAACTGAAAACATCAAAATGATAAAAGAAAAATAAAATTTCAAAAATGATAATGCTGGAAAGTTTGTTAAATTAATTTGATGATAATTTTCAGGGTTGTGTCATATGCAGTGCCTCCGCAAGAGATTCTTTCAAAGGATTCGGTAACGGTTTCTGTTGATGCCGTTGTCTATTTTCGTACGTCTGATCCTATTGCTTCCGTGAACAACGTGGACGATGCCATATACTCTACGAAATTACTCGCTCAAACAACTTTGCGTAACGCTCTCGGTAGCTTAATTATCTTAATTAAAACAATCTGTTTGACTGATAACCTTTAAATTTTAAAATTGAATAGCACAACATTGGGATAACAAAATGTAAAGTGTCTGATTTTGGATAAGAATATAAAAATAGTTGTTTTCAAAAAAATATTTAAGATTATTAAACTTTTAATGAATTATTTCCTATCTGTTACAGAAAGTTATATTTTAGTGGAAGTTTTAAAATTTCTTTGCATTCATTCAATGAATAGATAAAATTGAGTAATTAGCCAAAAGTTTATTAAATTAATTGAATTCTTAAAAAAAACATAACAAAAACTTATAATACGTTAACTTGAACTTTCATTTCTTATTCTGCCAGAACATTTAATTTGTAACTTATAAAGAGATAAAGATATTATTTTTTACAGCTTTTCTTTCATTGAAGTCCTTCTAAATAAAACTGGGCTAAGCTGAAACTACAATGATATGATGAGACCAGGCTAGGCTTTATCGTCAGCCATGGGCTATACAAAATCCAAAGAAAAATATTCTTTAACTTTAGGCATGAAAACTTTGACAGAGATGTTAACAGAACGAGAAGCCATTGCACAACTTTGTGAAACCATTTTGGATGAGGGAACAGAACATTGGGGTGTTAAGGTTAAATTTTACTTTCTTTCTTTGGATATATTTGAAAATTTAATTAATTTTTGCATATGTACTAAAAAAGGCGCATTGCAAAAAGTTTCAGATAATCTTTTATTAGTATTAATCAATAATTTCATTTTACTGTAACTGCAGTTTACAGGTGGAACGAGTTGAAGTGAAAGATATTAGATTACCTCAACAGTTAACACGTGCGATGGCAGCAGAAGCTGAAGCTGCACGCGAAGCTCGTGCGAAAGTAGTCGCAGCAGAAGGTGAACAGAAGGTCAGGTTAATGCAAAACTTGTCACATATTTTTTAGTCGCTTATCATAAGACTTTAAAAAACCTATCATTTTTTTTCATTATTTGTTATATTCTTTGATTTATTATATTTATTTATAATTGCATCATTTCTGTGATTATTTATTAATATTCAGGAAATTATCACATCAATTTTCTTATCATAAACTTGTTCAAATTTTATTGAACAAATATCACTATTACATCGTTTTTTTTTTATTACAATATCTCTTTTTTCTTTCGAATATATTCTCTTTAATAATAATCATAGTACTTAAATTCTAATTTAAATAATTTTGATATTATAAAAATACGTAAATCAAAAGATTGAATATTTGGCGAAATATACAATCGTTCACTTAATTTTGCAGCTGCAAAAATTAATGCACAATGAAATTTCTGTTGCAATATTTCAAAATGATTAGATTATTTTTTAATTTACATATCAATTTATTCACTTTCGTAATACTAAAGGCATCTCGAGCACTTAAAGAGGCTGCCGACGTAATTCAATCCAATCCAGTGGCTTTACAGTTGCGACATCTGCAAGCATTGAATAGCATCGCGTATGACCTTTTTTCCTTTGCTTAAAAAGAGTTTTTAATTTCAAAATTAGCATAAAGCCCAAAGAAAATTAAAAAAGAGACAGTCGTAAAATGTTAACTGAAGATTTTATAATTATTTCATATACAAGAAAGTAATTAATTAGACAATATGATGAGTAAATGAAGTAAAATTTGCAAATAATCTAATAATTTCGATAGTTTAGAAGATACACACCGGAGTTTATTTAACGGCTCTGGATTTGATGGTGAAGTGATAATAAGTGATAGGGAGAGTAACAAGTAATGCATGGAAATCATTAATGATTTAAATAATAAAAAAATAATGAATTTTTCAAAATAATATTTTACAGAGCGGAACACAATTCAACAATCGTTTTCCCCGTGCCGGTGGAAATGTTTGGAGCATTTATGAAAAAAGATAATTAATATGTTGAAAGAAAAAAAAATGATGGAGAAAAAGGACGAAATAGAAATGAAAACATATAAACGTGCAGTAAATCAGTTAAATACGAAAAAACCGGGTGAATATATTTCCGGATTTCAATGATCGATTCTACTTAATTCATTAAAATCCATCCTTTACGTTTTCTCTATGATGGATAATAATATTTATGGTTTTCAAGAATGAATCTCATTTTTTTTTGTCCATTTTTCGATAGCAGAAATTAATTTTTACTCCTCGATAAAATTATTTATGTAAAAAAAAATGAGTAAAAGAAAGCGAAAATCGTATTCCAAAACTGGAAAAACTAATAAAATGATCATTAAAATTAGGAAAAAATATATCAAATTAACAGGTGGAGATTTAAGGAATTTTCATTATTTATGCAACAGGATTGCATATAACTTTTTCTTCTTTACTTATAATACATTCATTGCGCATGCAAGTAATTAATTCCACTTTAATGTTAATGTAAATAATTACAAATGTATAATGTATAGAGATAATAAAAACTTTCGTTCCATTGCAAACATTTTTTTTAAAACTAATAATGCACATCTCAACTGATCAATCAGTTTCATGTCACATTCAAGTAATAGTAATTTGCTACCACTTAAAATATTCAAAATTAGATAAAAGTAAAGTAAAAGCGAAAAATTGTTGGAAAAATTGTAAAATTTAACAGTTGGATTAATTTTTTATTTTCTTGTTTCTCTGAAATGGTGTAATATTATAGTGATAATTGATCACATTATATTTGATGAAATATCCAATATAAAATAATTTTGGATGTTTTCATATTAGCATAATTAAGCTCTCCTTTTTTATCATTATTACGCTTTGATAAGGGAATGCCAAAATTGAAGTTATTGTTAGGGAAGATATAATAACTGATGAAAATATTGATTATGGAAGGAGAAAAAAATGAAACTTGAAAAATGATTCGAACATATAATGCAGTACATATTTGATCCACTGAATCTCTTAGTTAATTAATTAAAATAACTATTTTCCAAGAATTAGCAAACAGATCGCATTTCCTTTACTAATTCTATTAAATTAATTCGATCGATATATTTGTCAAAAACATCAAAGAATTATTTTTGAAATGTCAAAAAACGATTACTTTGTGAATGAGATGAGAATGTAAAATTAATTATAGTTAAATCATAAACAAATATTTACACGAAAAAATCAAAAATTATTGTCTTTATATAAATTTAATTATTTATGGTTTTCGTCCAACTTCATTTCAGTTAATTTTCAAACTCGACTTCGATAGCTTTTAGTTCAAAAAATAAATTACTAAATAAAGAGAGAAAGGAATGAAAAAATTTCTAAATTTTAAAAAAATAAACAGTTATTAGTTTTACACCGGAACTAATTTCGAGTTATGAGTTGTTGATTATTATTAAACATGTTGAGAGCATCAGTTGTTATGAACGCAATGATTGCAAAATTATTGCAAAATGTTTCGTTTTTTTCAAACAAGTAAAAAAAAAAAAACATTTTAGCTAATTTTTTTGGCTGGAAAATGGTTTGAAAATTGAAATTTAATTAACCTTAGATTAAAATAATTAACAGCTCTTGTTTAATTGCTCATTTTAATATCTTCTCACATTATTAAAGCTTTTCTTCTAAAATTATCACAGCTGTTAAATCTCATCATGTAAAATTTTTCCGTATGTTACTGTTACCGTAAACTATTAGTGATTGAGAATTTTTGAAATTCAATTCGACCAATAATTTAATTCTTATCATTTCTTATCATTGTAATCTACATAATTAATACATTTTTACATACACATTCAGGTAAAAAGTACCTACAAAATTTTAATATGATAATACTTCTCTGCTTTTAGTGTGAAGGAACTAACAAATAATTAATCAAAAGGGTTCATCGCAGCAGTGTAACTTAGATGAGATCTTTTTAAAAATTAATTCTTATCAGTTTTTTATTTAATTCTCCGAAAAATTTCTTTAAACATTGAACTGATACGTTCATTTGATTTTGCTTTCTTTATCAAAAATAAAAATTGTTCCATTTTTTCATTTTTCTTTTGATACTTCATTTTCCAAGAATTTTACGTTTTTGATTGGAATGTTTGATTTGACTTAAAAATTTAATTAATTTTCTTTCTTCATCTATTATTTATTTATTCGAATCATTAATAAAATACAAAAAAATAGGTTGTTTTTGAATCCTTTGATCCAGTGCATCATTGATGTCAAATTTTTCGGAAAATTTGAAAAATATTTTCTGTCAGAAAATGAAGAGAAGTTAATTTTCATTCCTTCAAAGCCAAAAAAAAATAAAATTCTCTTTCATCTTCTTTGCTCAAAACCAAATGTTATCATTAAATTAGTAAGAATTTTTCAAGAAAAAAAAGCCTGCAATTTATATTATTCCAAAATTTATTCGTAATAAATAATAATTTAATTTCGATTGAAAAAATTCCAGTTATTTTTGTTAGCTATTTAATAAAATTGATAATACGGAAAGAAATAAAGTATTTTGATGAAATTTTTGTCTTATGAAGCAATATATTCAGGCCTTCTCAATAATTGAAACATAGAAAGAAATCGAAACAACCGCATGGCTGAATAAAACTACTGCGAATGAAATTGTTAAATGACTTTTATTCAGTTAACACTTTCAGTAAAGGCATTTATGATAAAAACTTTACTGGGCAAATTAACCAATCCAATAATAAAATGTGCCAGTGATAAATCAGAATGACATTGAGCTAATTACAAGCACTTTGTTTGCGTTTATGACAGTGTTAATTTATAATTCATTTCTGATATGTTCATGCAATGATGTATATTAAATATCATTATTTGTAATATATGAACATTATTTTAAGTTAATATGAAGACCGACAAACGGTTTAAATGGATGATATTTTGATAAATGATGACACAATTGTTAAAAACCTGTTTGTTACAATGGAAGACATTAAAGTTCATGGTTACTTCAAAGATGAAAACTATGAACAACTGTTCGGGAAAATAAACTTTAGCAATGATTAAGTTTGTTGTGTGAATACATTGTACATATTTCAATAGCATTCGAAAATGCATCACATCGGCTTTAGCAAACTTTTTTTTCTAATAATTTTAATGAGCGCTATAAGAACTATTCTTCATATTTTTCTTTTAGTTAGTGTGCAACTAATTAAATAAGTAAATAAGTTATTAATTGCGTAATTAAATAAGTTATTAATTGCGTATATATGTATGAGAAGGCTCGTTTTAATATTTATTTGAAGATTTTATAAAGCGAGAACTATTTATTTTATTTTTCTCCACATATCTCAATAAGTTTTCTTAATAATTTTCTATGATTACAAATTATTGTGCATAAAATCCAATTGATAAATAAAAACATCAATTCTTAATGTTTCATTTTTTAGATCGACCGAATTTTTTTAGAATTTGTTATTGATTGGTATGATATTGGAGTAAAGGAAAGGAAACAATAAATGATACTTTCAACAACATTACCTATTTTCTCCATATCACTTACACCTATAAGCATATCACATTTCTTTTGGCTTACTATTGCCCGTATTGAAACTATCATTTTCTTGGGTAAGATCTGTTTTTACACTTTTTATGATTAGTTAATTCACGTAAACAATTGGTTTCGAGTAAAATTTCATAGGTAATTTGATTCAATCGTATTATTTATAATTTATAGCAAATTAAATACATAATCAAATATATAATTAATAAAGTGAAATATAGACATGATATGTTTAACAGATCAAAACACTTTAGTGAAACACATCAATCAAATAATTCAAATAACCAATCACCTAATTAAAACTCATCTTTTTTAATCATCTAACTTATACAGAAGACTAATATGTAGACGGTATATTTGCAGCAAACAATTATTATGAAAAATTGCTAAAATCGGCAGAAAGTTTTAATTTTTAAAATGAATTTTATTAAAATACAGCTAAAAAATATTATAAAAGCAAAATCCTTATGAATTTTCTACAAATTTTCTTCCTGTTTTGGCTAATGAAGTTTAGTTAATTAATCACTCTGATTTCTCCGATGATATAGAAAAGCAGTGAAAAAATTTCAACCAGTGTAAAATGAAAATATATGATGACTTATCACATCTGACAAAACGATGATTTATAGTTTACCTGTTACATTTTTTTAAAGTTTGTTATCATTAAATTTTGTTAAATTCCTCAAAAAAAGTTGCTCGTCATTTTCCTATTTCATTATTACTTTCTTCAAAAAAACTTTTTGAATAATATTAATAGAAAGCATCATTATTGTAATTCATCAAATAACTAAATTAAAATTTAACGACAAATTCAATTTTAATCAATTTCAGTAGGAGTTGTGATAATTGTATTGTATACAAAATGGATAACAGGACATTGTCATTTGTTGATGCGTGGAAAGAATTTGCAACCTTTTACGTTGATTAATCGAAATAAATATCATTCACCAAAACTGATTCAATTTGGCCTCACAGATATGCCGCAATATCGTATGTTAAGTTTAATTTTGTTTAAAGTATTATAAAATTAACTCATATAAAATAAAAGCATAAAATTTTGCTCAAACTAAAAGAACTTGCTCTGATACTAACAATAGATTGATTGTAATTAATTATTCATATTATGCAATTAGATTAGAAAACGATAAGCAAACGAAATGGAATTATAATACTTTTGTATAGTTTCTATTACATTTTAAATATATTTTAGCGAAAAAAATATTATTCTAAAAAAATGAAAAAAAAA